GGATTTAGTCATTGCATTTGTGTACTCCATACTTTCTATTCAGTTTTGTGTAACTTGCAAAACTGATTAAATAATTTAGCATATATTTTTGAATTTAGAATACCTACTTAAGATACATTTGATTTCAAGACATTATAGGCTGATAGACGATCTTCTCTCAGAATTGCAGTGGTGGACTGGGAGAAAAAAACAGCCCGGGAAGATCATAATTTTAGAGGCCTGAAGTATACTAACTATTTTCTTATGCATTAATTAACTCCTAGTAAACTCCAAAACATCAGAAATATTGTGTATAACGTGCTTTTGTAAAAATCATCAAAATCTTAAATAGTACGTTTAGAAATGAAGTTATAAATGAAAAAGTGCGAACTTTTTAATGGAAATTTATATTAAATTCAGAATCACGGTAGCCGTCGTCGTCGTCGTCGCATCAGAGTTGCCATTGTTACCAACAATATTACCGTTCTTAGACCGGAATCGTCCGGTTGAAAAAAAAAATGTGTATATTATAGTTATTAATTATTATGTTATTTATGTTTTAGATTAATAAAGAAAAATGTATAGTTTAATATTGATGATATTATTATTAATATTTTTTATTCATCACTTATAATAATATATACTTGTAAGTTGTAACTAAAATAACTAATATGGCTATGTACACCGACACACCGTTAATAATATTAGTTTGTACAGACCCAATAAACGTTAAGCGAGTAGGAATGTGGAATTATTTTCAAGATATATCGATAGATGTTTTTATACACGCTCATGCATTGTACAACATAAACAATAACAACAAGAGTGTAAATCAGGAATTGATGAAATACTTTCAAAAATTGTATTAAAATACAAAATATATTTGATTTTAATGAGTAATTGTCAAATACTAAGTACTATATAGAAACACGTGAAAAAAACCTACACAATTAAATAAAAATAGATTATAAATTGTTGTAAGTATTTTCAATAAATTGATGGTTGTTTTACAAAAGCCTATAATTGTTTTGATTTTTTCCGAAAACGTTGGCCTAGTCTGAAGATTTTACTAGAATATCAGAATGTAAGTTACCTACTATATTTATTTTATTACGTATTATTTTTATAACTTTAATTATATTAAACAAATTTATAATTTATGAAAGGTGATAAAAACCGCGATACTTTGGAAGTTTAGGATGAAAAACATATAACGTCCTCAAGTGAATACGAAAAAAAAATCCCCGAAAAATCTACATTTGATGGTCCTTACACTGCATATTTGGGTAAATAGTATTTTCATAATGTATACTTAGTTTTAGGTATTCATATTTTTACAGGGATGGAAAACGTTTTTGAAAACGTTTTTAAAAAACGTTATTAAACGGAAAAAAATGAAAAACGAAAACAATTAATAAAACGAAAACGAAAAAAACGAAAAAACGAAAACAATTAATAAAACGAAAACGAAACAAAACAAAAAATGAAAACAATTAATAAAACGAAAACGAAATAAAACAAAAAACGAAAACAAAAACGTAAAACGGAAATAAATTATAGTATTATACATTATTTAATTATTTTTGCTCAATGTGTAAGTGCAGATTTTTTATTTTTATTCAAAGATGTATTTTACATATTTATTTTATTTAATATTTTAGTATTTTACAATTACCAATATGTTAATTTTCTGAGTTATTATTACTGGATTATTTTTATTATTTACTCTAGAAATCTGAAATAGTGTTTCACTTTAGTCTTTGAGACTTAAGTCTTTACTTTTGGGTTTTTAATCTTTACCAATGCACTTTTAAAATTTAAATATTAAGGATAATTAATTTGAATTTTTAACTTTCAAATGCATTTCTATATTGCGCGGTACTATTATAACTTAAAAGTTAAAATTCACGAGTTATAAGCTATAGTTACTAGCTATAAGAATATATTATATATAAAAAAAAAAATTATCAAAAACGTTATTTGGAAACAATAAGAAAATAACGTTTTTAAAAACGTTAATCAAAAACGCTATGGAAAAATAACGTTTTTAAAAACGTTAATCAAAAACGATATTGAAAAATAACGTTTTTAAAAACGTTAATCAAAAACGTAATAATCAAAAACGTTTAAAAACGTTAAACAAAAACGATATTTTTTAAATCAATAAACAAAAACGAAAACGAAAAAATTAAAAACGTTTTCCATCCCTGTATTTTTATTTAAAACAATATTTTGATGGGAAAATAAACACGCTTGCCAATAGGTATAAATAAAAAATGTTTTGAATTTATTGTCAAATAAATTATTTGATTGAATATAGGATTTTAGTATTTTGCATTTAAATGTTTTACTATGTTGTGTTAATTTAATGTAGACTAACTAATTTTATATTAAATAATAACGATCTATAATATAGATTTGCAATTATATTTTAATTTATAAACACCTACTTGAATTATTATATAGAAGTAATGAATTCTGATGATATTGAAAATAGTAATACAAGTTACAACATAATATGAAGAACCGTTTGTCTCTGCTACTTCTACTTGTCTTCTAGTTCCAGCCATTCCAGGTAATAAATGAAATATTTTTTTTTCAATAAAATAACCATCACTACTCATAGGTGTGATTCATAACCATACGTGCTTTTTTATCTATAATAATTTAAAGGCTAATTAATATTAGTTTAAATTTACAGATAAATCTGTTAATTTATTTGGTTGTCAATTTGTCATTTTAATGATTCATATTAAATTATAATAAATTGTAAATAGGTGTAAATTAAACATTGATATAGGTACCTACATTCAACACTTGTGAATATACCTATTTATCATAAATAGTAAATTTTATACAGTTTGAAAAATACCTACCTATACTTTTTTAGTAGGTATATTATTTTTATCAAATACTTAAAAATATAATCATAATAATTAATCATATAATTTAATAATTATAATCTCACGACGGGCGTGCTGGCGGTACCGTACGGAACTCACACAGCGGCGCAACTTATAATTATTTATTATACCTAACCTATACTGTTATTTTAATAGTTAATAGCCTATGGATTACCTATATTACAGTACGAGTTATTGATTTAATAATGTTATAAAATCATTACCATGGATCAATGGAGGCCAAGAATAGTGTTCTAAAATGTGTACAACAATCAACAGCCTACTCGTATTATTATTATAACAGGGACTGTTAAATCAATGTGAAAATAATGTTTAACAATACATATTTTTTGTAACTACATAATTATTGTGATGGATATAATATCATAAATGGGAATTTCCACTGGCACCCGTATCTATGTATAATATCAAATATTAGGTACCCATCAATTATCAATTAACAATATAAAATATTATTTGTTACAGTGTTCATAGTCTCGACTCTTGAGTGTTAAGTCTTGAACATTTTATTTTGTTGTGCCTTTCGAGTGTGTGTTATAACTTATAACTTATAATATATAATTATATGAATAGAATATGATAATTTCAATTTTAATGATACGTATATAATATTTATTCTATTTACTATTTTAGTATACGTGTTGTTTATGGACAATGGACTATGGTAATAGTATCTATATATTAGTTATGTTCTAAGGGCGAGAAAGCGAATTTATAAAAGATTTATTCGAATTAAATTTCTTTATTAGTATAATATAACCGAAGTATTTTTAAGTAGTTTATTTGTGTAATATTAGTATATTATATTGTATAATTATTATGTTGTCATGAAGAGTGTATAAAAGTAGTTTTGCTAAACGCAAGGCAAAAGAACAAACAACCACCATTTTGGATTTAATGAGAGTCAAATATCAAAACTTGTAGGTATTTTTTCAATAAATTATTTAATTGAACTGTAGGCAAAGATGATAAGTATATAAAAAAAATAAAGGTACTATACTTCAATACATTTTATATTTTTATATTGGCACATCTGAATTGCATTAGACCATAATATTATGTGTTATTTACTTACATAAACTATCAAGAGTTGATATTCTCTACTTTTGTATTTCTCAATATTTTTTAGAGCGTTTTGTAGATGATTTTTTACAAAAAACTAGAAATATTAATACTTATTCTATTTTATAAATTTATAATATAAAAAAATAAGTTAGTTTATACAATTATTTTTAATCTTATGAAATTACCAACTCACCCCATGCACTTCGTTACCCGTTAAAAATAGTTTATATGTATAAATAAATTAGCAATAAATTGGATGGTAAAACTTTTATTTAATACAATTATTTTATTATTATTTAATTCATGTTTTTTTTGCTGGACAGATGATGCCACTGTTGTGTTTCTGCTTTCCAAGTTTTCTACTTTTTCGGTGGATTTTCTTAACATTTTCTTTTATATTAACCTTTATTAATTATGAACAAATCAAAAAAAGAATCAGCCAAATCGGTCATGCATTTTCGGAACCAACCCGTAACAAAGATTTCGCTTTTATATATTATATACAATATATAAATATAATATATATTACCTTTAATTTATAATTAACGATGAAAAGGTTTTGGTTACCTCATTTGTGGGGAGGAAGTGGTATACCGTGTTCGTGTGCCATTAATTGTTTAAGACCATTTACATTTTTTGCTAGGGGGCCCCATTTTATATTTTACTTTAGGGCCCAACATTTCTAGTTGCGCCACTGAAATCACACGCACGTTGTGTTCTTCTGAATTCTGATGATCGGTTTAAGATTGTACTAGAACAGTGGTTCTCGACCGGTGTGCCACGATAAATGTTATTAAATATTGAAAACAGTGTTTTATTTCGTGACATTTATTTTTTAAAAATACAGAAACATAATAATATTTAAAGAACTAAATTATTTAATGTAAACAAAGGAATATTTATATCATAAAGTGAATACATTTTAAATTACTAGTGAGAAACTTGAGTTTGTCGTTTCGTACACAAAAGTTCAATACGTGGTCGAATTGAAGACAAGCAGACACGCATTTCCTGATCAACGGAAAGAAGCCTCTAACGTTTTTTGTTATTTATGTTTGTAAGTGGCGAAAAGCCTAACTCGCACATGTAGGTGGTTGAAAAATTATGTAACAACATTTTGATTGCTTCATCTGCTATTACAGGATATTCTGTCTTTGCATACATCCAAAATCTAATTAGTGGTAATTCATTATATTTCAGTCGTAGTGTTCTATCCTCCTGAATTTCTGCCAGATGTTCTTCTTTCTCAAGAGATAGGTCAGCTGTTGATTCTGACGAAGTAGCGTAAGGATTGCGCACCCAATCGTACTTGCCAACTGAGATATGGGGAAAATACTGTGCCATGCTGTCCTCAAGAGCTGTAAGGTGATTTAAAACTAGTTGGGTGGTTATGTCCCTCTGGGGATCTATATCAAAAGTTAAAGGAAACATCTGTAAACTTTTATTTTCTACATGCAGTTTCCAAACTTGTAGTTTCTTTAAGAACCCTTTCAATTTATCACTTGAGGTCAGGACCTTTTCTTTTTTTCCTTGCATACTTTCATTTAAGCAGTTTAAATGATAAAATATATCAGCCAAGTAAGCTACTTTGGCACACCACTCTGTGTTGTTCAAATACGGAAAAAATCTGGTTTTTCAGTGCTAAAGAGTTTTGACAGCTCGTTTTTAAGCTCATAAAATCTCTGCAGGACTTTACCTTTCGACAACCAGCGTATCTCTGTATGAACAACCAGAGTATCATGTTTAGATCCCGCTTTATGACACATTTCTTTGAGAAGTCTTGTCTTAAGAGCCTTCGATTTAACGAAATTTACCATGTTTACAACTAGGTTCAAAACACTTTTCAATTCTGCAGGAATAGTTTTCACCATTAGGATATCGCGGTGTATAAAGCAATGAGTTGAGCTCACATTCGGAAATTTTTTTTTAACTTTAGCAACAAATCCTTTGAATTTTCCTGTCATAGCAGGTGCACCATCAGTACAAACGGAAAGACAGTTTTTTCCAAGATAGCCCGTTGTCTGTTAAAGTATTGGATAATGAATCATACACTTCTGCTCCAGTTGCCATTGTGGGTAGTTCAGAACATGCCAGAAAGTGTTCTATAACTGAGTCGTCAATGAATCTGATATGGCTTAGTAATTGACATTTCTTACTAATATCAGTTGACTCATCCACGTGCAGTGCAAATAATCTACTGTCACTTAACTTTTCACGCACATGGCATTGGATGTCTGAAGATATGTCACCAATACGCCTTGATACTGTATCGTTTGGAAATGGAACCAAAGATATTTCCTTCTCTGATTGTCTGAATAGATTTAACTATTTCTTTGCAGGCCGGTAACATAACGTCTTCTGCGATAGTGTGAGACTGCATTCGTTAATGAAAAAATCCTATTTAAATTGTTGAAAATGTCAAAACACAATACTAATAATTTATATGTATGTTGCATCCACATAGTGAAATCACTATTTTCATAAACTGTATATCTAGATAGTGAAATACGTCAAGAGCGTATGGTCTTTCATTTCATCGTATAGGTACTTTGTGTAATTAGTATAAAACAAACTATGTTATAACTTTCTTACAAAAACCGTCCATACTATACTTATCTATATTGTTTTATGAACAACAACATAATAAGTCAATAAATTATATTATATTTTAATTTATTTTAACTAGGTTATTTTTAAACTGAAATATTATAAGTACAGTTTATTTACTTATTATAAACCATATGTATATTTGATATAAATGATTAATGAACCATACCTATTTTCCTGTATTTATTGTTTTACCTTAGTATTTATTTTTGCTCGAAGATTTATTACGAATTATATTATGATGTAGTTTTTAAAACATGCACACCTATACAAATATAATGTTTGGTGAATCTGTTCTGTAGGTCCCATATAATTAACTTTCGGTACTCTGAATATAACACATTGAATAATTGAATAATAAATTGAATAATTTCAAAAAAATCTGATGTACTTTTTTTTAATTACATTTGAATTAAGATCTAAAACTACGTTATAGGAACTCGCAGGTTAGTTGACGTGTTGGGTGAGATTACCATTTAATGACATCTAAGAAACAATTATGCAGATATTCAATAGTTTCATAAAACCAACATCATAAATTTGGTAACATTATATTCCACAAGTTTCTAATATTTTGATCAGTTATAATAAATTTAATTTATTTTTATCGCCGAACACTCATTATTTCGTAAAATATTGATTTTTTTTTAAATTTTAGTTTCATATTTTCAATATTTATATAAATTCCTAATATTGTTCACCCTTGTGCTTATAATTTATACCACTATTAACTATTAACTTTCAAATGACAACCTTTACTAAAAGTCTTATAAACAAATAAGACTATTTCTTTTATGAATTATCCCATTCAAATTTTCACTTTTCGTTAATCCTTTGATGAGATACCTATAGCTCCACCAAGTAGGGTGGTTTTGGCATTTGGGAGATGTTTGTTTTGGGAGAACATTGTCACTTGTCAGTAGGTACCACAGATATTTGGATTTTTTTTTTTTTATGCCCCAAGGTAAAAGATATTACCCTTTTAAAATCATTTCTAGGACAATTCCAAAAAAATGGTTGATGAATAACACTCTAAATATTGCAAGTAAATAATATTATTTTAATAGTCAACTTTTATTATTAAAGACCAGATGCAGGTTTACAACATTCGAATACGGTGGGGTCAGTTTCTAAAAAATAATTTAATAAAGCACAAAGTATATACGTGATTGAGTAATAGTTTAATATTGATGAAATAATAGATACATTGAATGATTTAGGAGCACCGATTACATAATATAATATTAAGAACAATTATCACCTTATGTATATGTTATAATGTTTAATAAAATAGGTAATACATATGATACAATAGATTAAATCGACGGTTCGCTGCGGCCCGGCGGGGGAGGCTAATAGGCTATACCTATTGTACAAAAATATAATGGGAAGTAAAACAGTTAAAACAATATTCAATTCTTCACGGTGGTGATTGGATGCGTATATTGAAACTAAGGTATATAATATTATTATGTAATGGGGTATTATTTTTTATTAACAAAAATCACAATTGAAAATATGTATATTAAGTATCATAGTATTATTTTAATAAATGCACTTATTCATTTCATCATCGGTGGCCTCCCTGCAACTCGCTGGATTAGACCTGACCCCTTTTGCAACGCACTCGTAACACGAGTCTAAACAAACGCACATCATCCCCATTTGCGTGCATTGCTTCTGGCATCCGTTTTCGGTGTAGAACTTTCTGTGGCCATTTTTGGAATGACACGTAAAACAGTAGAACTTGTTGTTTCTGAAAAGGCACGGCCTATAAAATTGTTTGTAGCAAGGGTCAGCCTGACACTTCTTGCACGTATCGTACCACTTGCCGTTCGTCTCCGACTTGATGGGCGAGTACAACAAGAATAAATTCAACAGTATCATGAAAGAGAACATAGGCACGGTGGCGTACGACAGAAATATATTGTTGTTATTATCTTAACTTATATAATATGCGGTACGATATCTGTTATTTCTGAATATGCTTCTCGGTGGATCGCTTGCAGTGGCGACTAGAAATCGTTAAGTGAATGAGTGTATATTATATGATTTTTATGTGTGTATATATTATAAACTACTGCAGTGATAAGTATGTACCTATTATAGGTGCAGAGTGTACGGTAAACGATATTATAATGATGACTATAATATTCGTTTGTGCGTTAATATAGGTAACTAAATGACTGGCATTTTGATCTGTGTGCATATCGTTTTTATGCCGTTTTTTACGGCTGCCAGTTACGTAACCACGTGGTATTGTGGTGTAGTTGGGGGGGGTCTAGATGCAGGGGCTTAATTAGTGGGGATTAGGGGGATAAATCCCTCCCAAAAACTTTTTTTTACTGCTATTATTTTGATCAAAGTATTGGTAATGACCTAACCTAACCTAACCAAATTCCTAATTACGCCACTGTCTAGATGTGGTAGAGTTATCCGGTTATGCAATGATTGTTCAAGACTAATTTATAGTATAGATACTATAGTCTATAGTATGCTTTTTCAGTATAAGTAAAATTAAATTAACTAAAATATTAATAAATATGAAATAAAAAAAAATATTAATAAATTGTACTGATAAAAGTCTTATATTTAACTATTTTATTACAAGTTTTAGTTAGCAGACTTCTTTTCTCACAATTTATTTTTACAATATTCAATTGTAGGATCATCTTTACTTTTAAAAAAAGTATATTAAATAAATTACATTAAATTCATGACATTTTTACTACCTTTTTACTTTATATTAAAAGTAGTATAACAGTGGCGCCGAACTAATTTTTTTGAGGTGTGGCAATGAACAATTACTTATACCCACCTATCCCCATTGGATATAAGAACTAATTTGGTGGGGGGGGGGGGCAACCACCACCCCACCAATTTAAATTCGAAATATGTTTTATATTAATAATAATTATTATATCGTTTATTATTCATTGTGCAGTCACAACGAATAAAGATGAGAAACCAGAGAAACAAATACAAAATAATAGAATATTATCAAATATTGTGGAATGCTGTGTATGGCAAGATTTCCAATTAAAAACAACTATAAACAAGGTTAGGTGAGGTTAGGTTAGGTTAGGTCAAAATATTTTGTTATCAACTTATAAATTATAATAATTAATCCATGTTGAAGATATTTTTCTAAAATGTACAATGTATATACCACAATGGTATCTACTTATCAATAAAATGTGCACACTGTACTTACTGGAAATTGATATTGTTTTCAGTACTACTTTGTCGGTTTCTTAATTATCATGACAGGGCTACTGTTACATGGATTGTATTTTTTTAAGAATAATATATTAATTTTACGTATTATATATTTAAATGATAAATCTAATTAAAATAAAATAAAACGCTATTTTTGATATGCCTCTGATTTGAAAAGTAAAAAGTAAATAATTTTTTTCACAGTCATTAGTATAATTTACTATTTCTATGTTATTGTAGATCTTCCAAAAATAATGAATGGAAGCTATGGAGAGATGACCGAATCACATACGTATTAAATAATAAGTGGCATAATATTACTCATCCTATACTTCATCAAGTTAGTATACGTCAATTTTGACGACAAATGAAATAGTAAATAATTAAATTTTTTTCTATTTTTGTATTATGACTTATGAGAATAAGTAATAAAACAAATACATACTACATAGTAATATTATAACCAAAATAGTTCTACAATATTGCGAATATTTTAGCCGGAAGTTGATGATATAATTTTGATGTTTCAAAAATGGAGAAATTAGCATATAGGGTTTCTGCCAATGCCCAATAGACTGTGTGATTGTATATTGTAGGCCAGATGCTATAGTTAAATCGACATTGATGATAAATTTGATTAATGCATTTCAATATATATTAATATTTGGTATGAAATATGTTGTTCAACCCCTTTAAATACTTACTTGTATTAAAATTACATTTTTCTAGGTGGATTAGGAGAAATCCTATTTATAATAGAGTGGTTGAAGAAACTATGTAAAATAACAGCAAACCACAGGGGAATTGTACAAACATTATCATCAAGGCTGGGCAAGTTAACTATTTTTATAACTCATTAAGTTAAGTTAATATAGAAAAATGTAAGTTAAGTTTAAAGTTAAGTTTAAAGTTAAGTTTATTTTTTTTTAACTTGTAAAAGTTACAAGTTAATTAGAAAATAAAAGTAACTTAACTTAGTTAAATATAATTTTTTTTTTTAAATATAATGTCTTACAATTTTTAAATAAATGTTTGTAATAAAATAAGTGACTGTATGTACCTATATTTGTATATTATACTTAACTCAATGATGAAATCCAATAAAATATTAAATAATTAAACTATTGTTATGTATTTGTTAACGTAAATGGTCCACAACTATACTAAATATTATAATAATCAAATTCAATATTATTTATTAGAATATAATATATAATATCAAATATTATGCAATTAAAAGTAAGAAGTTTGAAATACGTAAATACGATGAACTACGAAGCTACTACGGGTATTATCCTATTATTACAAAGGTGGGCATTAACTAGTTGAAAAGTTAAAGTTCAGTTAAAAAGTTAATTTTTTTTTTAACTTTTTAACTTAACTAGTTAGTTTATTTTCTAATCATCTTATGAACTTAAATAGTTTAATTTACAATTGAAATAACTTAGCTTTTCTCAGTTGATTTAAAAAAATCCATTAAGTTAAAACATTTTTAAATTGTTCGTTTATACTTAAATATTACGAATTTCGAACGATAGTTTTCGAAAATTCTTGGTAAAGCATTATGAAATTCTCAATTTCATTAACATTATTAATATTGGCTCTAATAAACACAACAACTAAAATACAGCTAATACAACTAAAATATCGTTGCCATGTACGTGAATGTTTCAAAAATCTACAATTCATATCTGTGTCACATAGTTACCACTTGTCAATATTCATTTCTTGTGTTCATTACGAAAACAATTTCATTTCTACGTATTTCTGTATAATCTTCTCCGTTAATTCTGCCTACATAATATTATCAAATAAATATGTCATATAGATGTGCATCTATGCCTAACATGGCCACGATGTGTGAAAATTCCTCAGCCAAATCGACAGATATTGGATGGCGATCAACTCCAAATCTGAAGTTTAACCGTACCAATGATATACGAAGACCGAAATCGTCGAAAAATGTTGATTCCAAAGGTTTTCTGGACGTCAGGCTCTGTGTATCTGAGCCAAATATCCCCATACATCCAAAATTACCTGGCGAGACAGCTGCAGATATTGGGTGTCGATCAACGCCAAATCTAAAGTTTCAGCAGGTCACCAGCGATGTGCGGAAACCGGAATCGTCGAAAAATGTTGATTCCAAAGGTTTTCTGGACGGCAGGCTCTGTGTATCTGAGCCAAATATCCCCATACATCCAAAATTACCTGGCGAGACAGCTGCAGATATTGGGTGTCGATCAACGCCAAATCTAAAGTTTCAGCAGGTCACCAGCGATGTGCGGAAACCGGAATCGTCGAAAAATGTTGATTCCAAAGGTTTTCTGGACGGCAGGCTCTGTGTATCTGAGCCAAACATCCCTATACATCCAAAATTACCTGGCGAAACAGCTGCAGATATTGTGTGGCGATCAACACCAAATCTAAAGTTTCAGCAGGTCACTATTTCTTTGCAGGCCGGTAACATAACGTCTTCTGCGATAGTGTGAGGCTGCATTCGTTAATGAAAAAATCCTATTTAAATTGTTGAAAATGTCAAAACACAATACTAATAATTTATATGTATGTTGCATCCACATAGTGAAATCACTATTTTCATAAACTGTACATCCAGATAGTGAAATACGTCAAGAGCGTATGGTCTTTCATTTCATTGTATAGGTACTTTGTGTAATAAGTATAAAACAAACTATGTTATAACTTTCTTACAGAAAACGTCCATACTATACTTCTCTATATTGTTTTATGAACAACAACATAACAAGTCAATAAATTATATTATATTTTAATTTATTTTAACTAGGTTATTTTTAAACTAAAATATTATAAGTACAGTTTATTTACTTATTATAAACCATATGTATATTTGATATAAATGATTAATGAACCATACCTATTTTCCTATATTTATTGTTTTACCTTAGTATTTATTTTTTCTCGAAGATTTATTACGAATTATATGATGTAGTTTTTAAAACATGCACACCTATACAAATATAATGTTTGGTGAATCTGTTCTGTAGGTCCCATATAATTAACTTTCGGTACTCTGAATATAACACATTGAATAATTGAATAATTTCAAAATAATCTGATGTACTTTTTTTTAATTAAATTTTAATTAAGATCTAAAACTACGTTATAGGAACTCGCAGGTTAGGTGAGATGACCAATTAATGACATCAAAATAACGATTAAGCGGATGCCAGATATTCAATAGTTTCATAAAACCAACATCATAAATTTGGTAACATTATATTCCACAAGTTTCTAATATTTTGATCAGTTATAACAAGTTTATTTACAAGAAACTTAATTAAGGTTAATAAATATAATATAATAAGCTGTTTTCATAACTAGATCTATTAACAATAAACAATAGATAAAATCAAAAATTTTAACTCAAAAATTGAATGACAATTAGTAGTAATTGTTAGTATACAAGTTGATTCTTTTATCGCCGAACACTCATTATTTCGTAAATATTGATTTTTTTTTTAAATTTTAGTTTCATAGTTTCAATATTTATATAAATGCCTAATATTGTTCACCCATATGCTTATAATGTATACCACTATTAACTTTTAACTTTCAAATGACAACCTTTACTAAAAGTCTTATGAACAAATAAGACTATTTCTTTTATGAATTATCCCATTCAGATTTTCACTTTTCGTTAATCCTTTGCTTTGTTTTGAACATTGTCACTTGTCAGTAGGTACCACAGATATTTGGATTTTTATTTTTTATGCCCCAAGGTAAAAGATATTACCCTTTTAAAATCATTTCTACGACAATTCTAAAAAAAAGCTTGATGAATAACACTCTAAATATTACAAGTAAATAATATTATTTTAATAGTCAACCTTTATTAAAGACTAGATGCAGGTTTACAACATTCGAATACGGTGGGGTCAGTTTCTAAAAAATAATTTAATAAAGCACAATGTATATAGATGATTGAGTAATAGTTTAATATTGATGAAATAATAGATACATTGAATGATTTAGGAGCACCGATTGCATAATATAATATTAAGAACCATTATCACCTTAAGTATATGTTATGTTTAATAAAATAGGTAATACAAATGATACAATAGATAAAATCGACGGTTTGCTGCGGCAAGGAAGGGGAGGCTAATGGGCTATACTTATTGTACAAAAATATAATTGGAAGTAAAACAGTTAAAACAATATAAAATTCTTCACTGTGGTGATTGGATGTGTATATTGAAACTAATTTACTTATATATTTTTTTTTTTTTAATTGATCTTTTAAAGCCCGGCGACTATGGCCATTAGCTGATTGTAGGGGTTTTTTATTGTAAGTAGTAGGGTTTGAAGTTGTAGGGTTATTACACGTGTGTGTTGTGTTTGGCAGAATTTCTATTGGGGCACCCGTAGGTTTCTGCCATGCCCCGGAGTGTGGGATGGCGGCACTTGTTCTCCAGACACCGTGACTTGCCCGGAGAAAAATGCCGCCCAGTGGTCGAGAGAATCGAACCCGCGGTTAGGTTCGACCGCTCGGCCACCTCGTCCCCCTTACTTATATTATATTATTATGTAATGGGGTATTATTTTTTATTAACAAAAATCATAATTGAAAATATGTATATATTAAGTATCATAGTATTATTTTAATTATAATCTCACGGAGGGCGTGCTGGTGGTGTCGTACGAAACATATTTGCACCTTAAGTGCACTTTTATATTCATCATCGGTTGCCTCCCTGCAACTCGCTGGATTAGACCTGGCCCCTTTTGCAACGCACTCGTAACACGAGTCTAAACAAACGCACATCATCCCCATTTGCGTGCATTGCTTCTGGCATCCGTTTTCGGTGTAGAACTTTCTGTGGCCATTTTTGGAATGACACGTAAAACAGTAGAACTTGTTGTTTCTGAAAAGGCACGGCCTATAAAATTGTTTGTAGCAAGGGTCAGCCTGACACTTCTTGCACGTATCGTACCACTTGCCGTTCGTCTCCGACTCGATGGGCGAGTACAACAAGAATAAATTCAACAGTATCATGAAAGAGAACATGGGCACTGTGAAGTACGACAGAAACATATTGTTGTTATTATCTTAACCTATACAATATGCGGTACGATATCTGTTATTTCTGAATATGCTTCTCGGTGGATCGCTTGCAGTGGTGACTAGAAATTGTTAGGCGAATGAGTGTATATTATACAATATTTATGTGTGTATATATTATTATAAACTACTGCAGCAATGAGTATATTTTATAGGTGCAGAGTGTACGGTAAACGATATTGTAATGATGATCACAATATTCGTTTGTGCGTTGATATAACTAAATTACTGGATTTAGGAGCTTCGATTACATAATATAATATTAAGAACAATTATCACCTTAAGTATATGTTATGTTTAATAAAATAGGTAATACAAATGATAAAATAGATAAAATCGACGGTTTGCTGCGGCCCAGCGGGTGAGGCTAATAGGATATACCTACCTTTTGTACAAAAATATAATGGGAAGTAAAACAGTTAAAACAATATTAAATTCTGCACGGTGGTGATTGGATGTGTGTATTGAAACTAATTTACTTATATTATATTATTATGTAATGGGGTATTATTTTTTATTAACAAAAATCATAATTGAAAAATGAAAATATGTATATTAGTAGTAGTATAGTATTTTAATATTAATTTTAATAATAATCTCACGGCGGGCGTGCTGGTGGTGTCGTACGAAACATACTTGCACCTTAAAGGCACTTATTATATTCTTGAGCGGTTGACTTCCTGCAACTCGCTGGATTAGACCTGGCCCCTTTTGATTCGCACACGTAACACGAGTCAGAACAAACGCACAACATCCCCGAATCCTTGCAATGCTGCTGGCATCCGTCTTCGGTGTAGTACTGTTGGCGGCCATTTTTTGGATGACACAGAAAACAATAGAACTTGTTGTTTCTGAGAAGGCACGGCCTATTAAATTGTTTGAAGCAAGGGTCAGCCTTACACTGCTGGCACGTATCGTACCACTTGCCGTTCGTCGCCGACGCGAGGGGCGAGTACAACAAGAATAAATTCAACAGTATCATGAAAGAGAACATGGGCACTGTTGAGTACGACAGAAACATATTGTTTTTATTATCTTAACCTATACAATATGCGGTACCTTATCAGTTATTTCTGAATATGCTTCTCGGTGGATCGCTTGCAGTGGTGACTAGAAATTGTTAGGTGAATGAGTGTATATTATATGATATTTATGTGTGTTAATATTATTATAAACTACTGCAGCAATGCGTATATAATATTATAGGTGCAGAGTGTACGGTAAACGATATTGTAATGATGATTACAATATTCGTTTGTGCGTTAATACTAAATTACTGGCATTTCGATCGGTGTGCATATCGTTTTTATACCCTGCTAACGGCTGCCAGTTACGTAACCACGTGGTCGTGGCGTCGTGTAAATGGTGGGGACTAAATGTGGTAGAGTTATCCGGTTATGCAATGATTGTTCAAGACAAATTTACACTATAATATTTAATTTTCGTCGTGTAGTGTGTTATCTGTCATTTCTGAATCTGCTTCCCAGGTGGATTGCTTGCAGTGGCACCCAACCCTATTACTAGGTGTAGTGGGTAGGTATAATAACATAAAATAATAAACTTGAAATATGTTCATAATTAATCACAGGTTATATTGGTTGACACCTTAATATTTACTAATATTATCAATACAAATATGATAAAATAATATAATTTTGAGTTTGTGAGGGGTATAAATTGTTTTCTTGCTAACCTAACCTAACCTAATCTAAATTATATGCCCTAATTTATACTGAAGTAAAAATAAACATTTTTTAACAGCAGATTATTATGCAAATTTACTACCGAGATAAATGTATTTTTATTTTAAATTTTACATCACCAGGTTTACCTATAGTGTTGGTATTGTGTATTTATGTATGCGTTGCTTACACTAACTAGTCATATTGCTCATGCATATTAGTTACCTACCTATCAATAATAAGTAATAACCAATATGTTACAGCTAGTGAACACTAATCATGTATTCTATATTTTTTTTACTGTTCTGTTTAATATGCAAATTTATAACATTTAAGGTTCAATAATTTGTTATGTTTATTTTATTTGTATTTCATAGGACATGAATAGTACGTATTATACTTGTAATATATTTAAATAATAATAGTCAGCCGTACGATATTATATTATAATATTTTCGAGGGATTTTTTTCGTTTCCCCAGCACACTCTCTGTGATTGCACACCCGGTCGTCTTTAAACGGGCTGTAATAATTTATTACAGTTATTACAGCCCGTTTAAGTCGTCGTCGTCGTCGTCCGGCCCCGCAGTCGTAAATCCCCTGCACTCGGGCCCAGTCGACTAAACACGAGCGTTTACCCACATCACGCGATTTTGACATCGCGTCAAAATAATTTATATTGTTATGTTCACACCGTATAGTAGCTACAAATAATAATACATACGTGTTGTAAGTATGATGGACATACATAACACACAAACTATATGACGTGCGTATGCGATTTGGCTCTTCCACGAGTGGTCCCCTCGGAGGAGGGCAAAAGCACTCGTCTCCGCATCATAATAATTATTTTACATGAAGTAAATAAAATAATTTAATAATTTAATATACACAAAAACGAGACATACATCTTAGAACGCGTATACGTCTGGATACACGTCGTCGTATATTACGATGAAGGTAGGTAAACCTATCTTTATTTAACGATTGGAACGTATACGCAAGTTTCGCCGACTAATTAGAAATTATCACTGGCGACAGTTTTTAGGTTTGTCCATTAAATCGTAGTGTTGTATATACGTTTAAAAGGCAATGCGAACACTCTGTAAATATAGTGGCAATTATTCGTCTACACAGCTGGATTATTCATATCGTTTTCAACGATAAATACAATTTGTAAAAAAGAATGTCAACCCTATGTGGTGTGATTTATACTGCTGGCTACAAATAGTATTATTATTATTATTATTATTTTTTTTTTATTTATAGGTTTACAGGCTTCAACAGCTATGGTTATTAGCCGACAGTGACAAAAATAAAAAAATAAAATAAAAATAAAAAGAATAAGATTATTAGATTATATTACAGTAGTTATAGGTTAAATTAACATATTTGATTAAAGGTTATTTAAGTAAGTTTACAATTGTATATGGGCTTAATTTATATTTTATTAATAAGTTTGTCTTTGGTGATGAATTGGATGGTTTTTTGAGTAGATTCTTCATTGAGGGCTTCTTTGATGTTGGGAGTGAGGTTGAGGAGTGTGCGAGTTGGCTCGTATATTGGGCATTCTTCGAAAATGTGTCTTGTAGTGATGCGAGTTTGGCATGTGTTGCATATAGGGGGTTGGTACTTGGTCTTTGCTGATAACTGATAAGGAAGGAGTGTGTTAGAAACGTGTGGCCGATTCTAATGCGAGTGATGGAAATATTTTGACGTCGGCTGAGATTCATTGGAGTATACCATTGTTCATAGCCGTCCCAAGGGGGGGGGGCAAATGGGGCAAGTGCCCTAGGGCGTCTAAAGTATTATGAATTTAGGGGGCGTACTAGAAATGGATGATAAAAAGAAAAATTAGGTGTTCTTATTTTAGGTATTATTTTTTTGTTTATACTGTAATATCAAAGATGAGTATCTATCAAATTGTATACTATTAAGTAGGTATACAATTATGTAAATAATGTGTTAAATCTTAATGCGACATAACTTCAATAATAATATATTGAATATTCATAAAAACAAATAAAAATATTAATACTTATAATTTATAAGATTATTAAGATTACAATAGTAATTTATTTAAGCACATGAAATATATTTTAAATATGTATATACATCATTACAATAATTAAGTAATATACTGTATACTATATTGTAATATACTTATAAACTAAACTAATTCATATCTTTGGTACCTAGTAGTACCTTTTTTTATTTTTGTGTCTGTCATCACGTTTTAGGACAGTAAAAGTGCTTGGATTTTCTTCAACAGTATCTTTTCTTATAGGAAAGTGAATCTAGTTGGTACTTTGGGGGTGGGGGGGTCAAAATTTCCCAGTAGTTTTCACAAGCACCGGGAAAAACAACATAAAAATTAAGGAAAAACGGGAATTTTTACGCAAAATCTGTTTTCCAAAAAATCGATTTTGATTTTTGGTGTAACTCTAAAAGAAATGAACGTATATACAAGAAATTTTCACTGGTTGTTTATATTTACATTTTGTATACACGATAATATTTTCAAAATATTTTGATTAATTTTGAACTGTTTAGGGACATTTTCATTTTCCATTTTTTTTTTAGTTTTTTTTTTTAAAATATCAATAAAATTGTATTTGTTGGTTAAAAAAGCTTGAAAATTAAATAGAGGGCTATTAGTATATTGTTTCAAAGGCAAATGAAAAATATTAAAAATCCTTAGTCACAATTATTTTTATAAGCATTTAATATTCAAAAATTGACAAAATATGGAAAAATCACGAAAATTAGCAAATTATTTTGAGTTAAGAATTCGTAAAAATTTTTCTTTTTAAATCTAAGATTTGAAAATATAATACAAGATTCCTTATAAGATTATCTACCTTTATCAAAAAAAAATGTCTATAAGAAAGTCAAATTAAATTTGTATGAGCGTTCGAAATCCGTAATATTTAAGTATAAACGAACAATTTCAAAATGTTTTAACTTAATGGATTTTTTTAAATCAACTGAGAAAAGCTAAGTTATTTCAATTGTAAATTAAACTATTTAAGTTCATAAGTTGATTAGAAAATAAACTAACCAGTTAAGTTAAAAAGTTAAAAAAAATTAACTTTTTAACTGAACTTTAACTTTTCAACTAGTTAATGCCCACCTTTGAATTTTATAATCACTTATATTCACTTGTGCAATTTACAATGATGATTGTTATACTACACTGTTATTACACACGCAGAAACGCAGAATGTATGATTTATAATGAAATCTAGGTACTAATTTGTGAAAATAGTTATATATATTTTCTTTCTGTAATGTTTGAGTGTTCCCAGAATAATGAAATCGGTGTTCAAATATAAACAAAATAAATATGATCCCAATAATAATATTTAAAAAAATAAGTAGGAACCTTTAATTAATAAGTATTAAACATATTTAAGGTATGTGGTTAATTATAAGCTAAAAATGCGAAGTCGAGATTTTTTGGTGGGAGGGTGAGGGGCGTCAAATATGTTGCCGTAGGGCGTTATTGGTGGTTAGAGCGGCACTGCCATTGTTTAATTGAACTTTTTATGTACTTTAGTTTGTTTGTTGGGGGGATGGAGTCCCAGATGTGTATTATTATTATTATAGGAAGCTGGTGACCATATCGTTTATTGCTTATTATGTAAATGTTTAATCGAATATAATTAGTTTTTTTTTTATATTAAAACATTTCGAGTTTCGACCGTGAATTTTTTTAATAATTGTATCCAATAGGTCTAACCTTTTTTAAATTTGGTATTTATATAGTGTTTAAGTAAAGTAATGTCGACTTAAAATAGCCGCCAACACAGTAATTAGCTCGCTAAGTTTCACGCGTGAAGTGATATTCCGTCAACCAATTAAGATGTGGCTGCAGGTCGTAGTTATGCTTATGACGCTTATGTTATAGTTGTAGTTAGTTTCTGTTTCACTTGCGTTAATATTACTCATAAATAGGTACCGATAGGTATATTACTATATTAGCTGTACCTACGATTCAATGTTTAAATTATTACATACCTCGCACGGTAAAAACTGATGATTTAGCCATTTAGGTATAGGTAACAGCAATTATTAATTAATTATCAGTACTCCGATCGGTACTCTCAATCGATTGACGTAAGTTATCATAACCTTTATTTATTGTAATTTTAAAATTAATTTTTTTATTAAAAAAACAGATTTATGATATATTTATTATCTCAGGAGATTGCTCAATGGGTAAATCCTAGCGAGACACCCTGTATATCGTTTTTTTAATATTATGTGTGTACAAGTGTACGATATTAATTTTTACCTATCACACACTAATAAGTCTTGATGTCGGTTTATTTGAATAT